GAGCCCGATGTGGGACTTGATCCCAGGACCCTGGGATCATGACCTGAGCCGAAGGCAGACGCTTAACGACTGAGCCACCCAGGCGCCCTGATTCATTTTTTAAATAAGTGAAACTATTATAAAGTGTAAGACTAGGATTGAGGAGACAATGTCTTTTCTTTCTTTCAAATGAAAATAAACTCAAATTAAAGTCAGTTTTGAATAATTTAACCATAATTTTAGACTAAGACAAATGGTCACTCATGCAAAATATACTAATGAATCAGTTAACATAAAATTTAGATTCATCTTTGCATTCATTAAAAATCATGAAAATAAATATCACCTAAACATCCTATGATCTCAGATTGCCTTAATAATGGTTAACCTACATTAATGTGGAGTAGGACTTAAATATACAAGGATTTACCTATGGAACATGTGGAACTATAAATTCAAGAGTATTCTGCATATCTAACCAGTTACCAGGTGTTGCTGATACTACTGATCAGGAGGAATGAAAGACATTTAGCTCAGTATCAGCATCTATAAATGTCACTAGTAGCTTTAACCAAATACAAACTCAACCTAAAGTCACAATACAAGGTGGCCCAAAAGAAAGATAATTCAGTTTTGGGCTGCTGTGTCCTAGACGAGCAAGGTAAGATTCTGGCTGGTTAGGAATAATAGACTTCTCAGTCAAGGGCAGATATTAAGTGAGTGTTCACCCATAATAAGATACATATAGTCTAAAAACCATAACAAAGTTGCTTTGACACATAACCTCTGCTCCAGTTAGATAGCAACACAGATAAATATAGAAGAGATAACCAGAAAGGAATAGCTAGGATCAAACATGACATAAATATATCTTTTGGGGCCCTAGAAAAGGTACACAAAATCCCAAGTTTTAAGTGGGGCTTAAGGCACATGCCTGCTGAGTTCCAGGTGTGGAAGAAGGCAGTGACAGCCTAGGATTACAGACTGCATTAAGTGGAACTGGAAGTTCAACTCTGCCCAGAGTGAGTGCACTGTAATACTCTGCTTAAGGCAGACACTGGGACAGGGCACACCTACTTGGTACAGCAGCTTTGTTGGAAGTTAGGGGCTGGGGAGAGTCACTGAGTGAGGGGGAAAAAACACTCTCATAATCTAAGCAAGCAATCCAGTAATTCCAAGACCAGATAATCAATATCCCCAATATCACCACAGAGCAAGAGGCTCCAAACACCATTTTAAAACCCAACTCTGAAATTTTCTACAGGTAGGGAGCAACCACAAGATTACAGAGCCAAAGGGGAGGATGGGAGAGAAAGTTAAAAATTTTAAATACAACATTCATTCTAAATGAGCCTGCAAACAAAATTTCCACAAAACATGAAGAAATGTAGTTCTAAAAGAGATAAATATCCAAATCAACATTCAAGAATATAAAACCATGATATATAAAAAGCATGTGAAAGAAGAATGTCTAAATGAAAAAAGAAAAGACTAGAGTACGAATTTTCATATATTTAGAGGATTATGGCAGAATTTAAATTTATGTACCCCAAAGGGCAAAACTGATCCCCCACCCCTGCCAGAAGGAAAGCCTTTTCTAATAAATTAGTCTATGCAAAAACGAAATAAACTTCCAGTGAAGGGTGAGTGCTCTGGAACATTGCAAGCAGGTGTTAAAGAGTAATTTTTATCAAGATAGCTTTAGGGGTGCCTGGGTGGCTCAGTCGTTAAGCATCTGCCTTCAGCTCAGGTCATGATTCCAGGGTCCTGGGATGGAGCCCCGCATCAGGCTTGCCGCTCAGTAGGGTGCCTGCTTCTCCCTCTGCCCCTCTTCCTGCTCATATGCTCCCTCTCTCTCAGATAAATAAAATCTTTTAAATAAATAAATAAATAAATAAATAAATAAATAAGCAAGCAAGCAAGCAAGCAAGCACATAAGCATCTCCTTGAAACTGAATGGAGAGAAAAACAGATGATTGGCAAGGATGGCCAGGACAGAACAACATTGGGCTGCTCTGCGGGAAGCCTGCTTCTCCCTCTCCCACTCCTCCTGCTTGTGTTCCCTCTCTGTGTCTCTCTCTGTCAAATAAATAAATAAAATCTTTAAAAAAAAAAAGTAAAATAAAGATAGCTTTAGAGAGAGATTACAGAAGAGTCACATACTGGGTAGTTTTAGCTATGTAAAACCCCTAAAGTACCCAAACAACTCTCAATTATTTTAAGTTTAACTCTTATCAAATCAATTTTGAGGGGCGCCTGGCTTGCTCAGTTGGTAAAGAACACGACTCTTGATTTCAGGGTCGTGAGTTCAAGCTCCACATAGAGCATGGAGCCTACTTTTAAAAAAATCAATTTTGAGAGGTGTTTCATATCTAGGTGAGTGAGTTTTGTGAAAGTTCTGCCAGATAATGTGATGAACTGATTAAGAACACTTTTTCTAAAAGTACAACTAGCAAACTGTCATAATCTAAATTAGGCTCCACAGATCAAGGTGGTCCCTAGTTTCAATAAAGAGAAGTTCAGCTACGTAAGGGACATAAGAGATCCATGAAAATAATGTTCATTAATGTTTTGAAGAAGGAATAAAGTGAAGTACACTTTACTGACTGAAGGACTCCATCTGACCAGAACCTGATCTGACCAGAAACCTGATCTAAAAATACGTAATTGAAAACTTCTGGTGAGAGAGCAAAGGGAAACAAATGGGACAGAAATATATACATACTTACCTTTTTCAAATATTTCTCAAAACACCACATGTAGAATGAAGCAGTACTTAAAGCTTTCAAAATTTTTGAAAAAAAATTACATACATACACGAAACTCTGTAAAATATATGCTTCTATGATCTTTTGGTGGCGATAAACACAAGAAACTGCTAACAGTAGTTATTTTGAGGAGCAAGATTAAGAGATGAAAGGAAGCTTTTACTTTATTTAAATTTCTTAACATGGTGACATGCATTACTTTTTAAAAAAAATGTCAGATGGACTTATCTGGGTGGTAATAATCCTACCCTACACTATTTAGGGCCTCAACATTGAAAACATTTTTATGAAATTAAGTTCTAATCCTAAATAGCTACCATACCTACTAAAAGAGAAATTTCAGCATTTTCCTCATTATTTTTTCCTTTTTAAAATTTCCCAACCATCAGAAAGACTGCAAAACTAGTATAATTAACAAGCAGCTACCTGAAGCACACTCATCTGGGGAGGTTGGCAATAGCTGACCCCTGAACATGGGTCTGAACTATGCAGGTCCACTTATAGATGAGCTTTTTACAATACAGTACTATAAATGTGTTTTGTCTTCCTTACGATTTTCTTAGTAACATCTTCTTTTCTCCAGCTTACTTTATTGTAAGAATATAATATATAGTACATATAACACCACAAAATATGGGTTAATCAAGTGTTTATGTTACTGGTGTGGCTTCCAGTCAACAGCAGGCTAATGATAATCAAGTTTTGGGGGAGTCAGAAGCTATAAGTGCATTTTTGACTATGCACAGGGGAGATGGGATGTCAGGATCCCAAGCTCCGTACTGTTCAAGGGCCAACTGTTTTACTATTAGAGGAGAAAGAGTAGAAAGAGATAACACAGTAAATAAATGTTAACAAACTGAACAAAATTAGTTTAATTAGTTGTTCTTTAGCATTAGTACACTAAAAATCTAACTGGATACTGTTTCTTTGAACATACACAGTAATTTATATAGTCAATTATATCTTTCTTCCACTAATTACATTATCAATATTATAGAGAAATGTTTCTACATACTCAATAAAATTACCAAACTGCTACTTTCATCTGGATCCCAGATAAGACTGACAGTATCAATACAAACTCACAATCTTTGATTTGAAGATATCCAGCAGACCTGATAAATGAGTGTACTGATTTGGCACTTTCCGAAGATGAACCATTTCAAAATCAGTTCGGACACCATGACCCTGACATTCTCCCACATACATTCTTCGCCATTTGTGATGAATTTGCACAAAGAGTGGCACCTGGCTGTAGGACACAATTAAATAGGAATAGATTTTAAGTTCATTAAACACTAATTCCTAAATCTAAAAACTTCCCCATTATTTTAATCTCAAATATTTAAAAATATTTAAAAACACTAAGCAAGGACCTCAGGCTTATATTTATAAGAGACACAATTAGTTTCTTTTCTCCGTACACTAATAAGCTGAAGAAACGATCATCTAGTGGAACTTTATATTCAGAAAATTGTTTTAAAATAGCTGAAAGTAAAAAAAAAAAAAAAAAAGGGCACAATGAAAATTTTCTTGAATAAAAATGATCATATTAAGATAGGGACTGAAGGACTCCATAAAAATCTGCTTTTTGCTCCTTTTCCTGCTTCTACTCTTGCTAGGACCTGCACCCCCACTTTACACATGCCTCAGTAGTTTATGTCCTCCTTGTAAGAGGCAAGGAGTTAATGATTTCTCTAGAAAAGATAACATTTAAGGAAGGACCAGGTGAGAATAACCAGACAAAGCTATCATATGTGCATTCCAGACCACCAGCACTAGACATATCCATGTCAAGATACCCAGGCTCCAAGGAATAACACATGGGCCCTCACCTTTGATCTAACCAGTTCCTGGATGCCTGAGAGGACACATACACCAGACCATGATCCTCAACAAAAACTCCCAGGCCCGAAGCAAAGATGAGACTTCCCCCTTTCCTGAGTCTCTCAGATACTCTGTACCTGCCACTCTCTCTATGCCCTTAATAAATACCGCTTTCATCTCTTGCTGGCTCACATTTGATTTCTATCCTGCACGCATCCAGGGACCCCTCTGGTTGGTCCTGAGGGACCCTCTCTGGGTCCAGATCAGGCCTGCTGGCATCAGTACCATATTAGCCTTTTAAAGGCAAAATAAAATTTGATTCACAGGTATGAAACAATACAAATCAAAACAACATTAGTGGTGAAATATTTTTTACTTTATCATTTGAAGATAGAACCAATCCTTATTATTCACAGATTTGCATGTTTGCAAATAAGCCTACTCCCTAAAATTTATTTGTAACCCCCAAATCAATACTCAGCATTTTCAGTCATTTGCGGACATACATAGAGCAGCAAAAAGTTTGAGTCATCTGACTTAGGTAATCTCAGTTGAGGTCGAACAATTCAACGATCTGTTTTTAAGTTTGAAAATTAGATTTTGTAACAAAATTTAAATAAACTAAACACTTGAAAGCAAAACACAAAAAGAGTACAATTTACTCATTTCAAATATTCATTGCATAGTTCAGTAAATTTCCCTTTAGAAATGCACTCACTAAAGGTTTTGAGTTTGTCCTTCTATATGATATTCCAATATAATAATGCATAAGTAGGAATCCTAAGAATTTTTTTTTAAATATAACTTAGAAACCATTTTCCTTCATTAATTATAATTAAAAATAGTTTTTAATTCAATGTCTAGGTTTTCAAAATGTTCACCTACCAGCCAGTGTTTCCCAAAGCAATAGACACAGAACTCAGAAGAAGATTGCACTTAGATTCACTGAGAACTGCATCATGGTTTGCAGCAGGGGCAATCACCACAAACTCCCGCAGTCCATACCTTTAAAAAAAGAACCACTGCCATTAAACAGGGAAAACTTCAGAATACAAAACCATTATTTGAAAAATACCTACCTGCTGAAATCAAAAATTAGTTATACAGAAATGGCACTGAATACTGGAAAGAATCCAGAGCTATGAATTTTAAGCTCTAAAGGTTTTAAAAATACACTTTTCTCTTTTTTAATGTCCTTGGAAGAAAGAAAACAAAACAAGTGAACATTTTTCCCCATGCCATCACCCACACTAGAGTGAAACCACAGTCAACAGTTCTTGGTTATTCTGGGGCGCCTAGGTAGCTCAGTTGGTTAAGCGACTGCCTTCGGCTCAGGTCATGATCCTGGAGTCCCGGGATAGAGTCCCACATGGGGCTCCCTGCTCAGCAGGGAGTCTGCTTCTCCCTCTGACCCTCCCCCCCTCATGCTCTCTCTCTATCTTATTCTCTCTCTCAAATAAATAAATAAAATCTTAAAAAAAAAAAAACAGTTCTTGGTTATTCTTCCAGAAATAATCTATCCATGTACTCATCCTACCCTCAAATAAGATTATAATATTTATGCTTTCTGTAACTCCTT